TAAGGTTGCCAGGTCTGACTCAGGAAATATCTGGGGACTTTGGGGGTGGAGCCAGGAGCAAGGATGTGACATCACTTTTGTGATCCTGTGATTCCACTTCCAGGTCCACCTGCACATCGAGAAGATTCCTGTGATCCCATGGTAGGAGCTCATGCTTCTAACACAGTGGTTGCTCTCAACTCATTCTCCACCCAAGCCACACACACTGGTACCATTTAAGGTTGCTAGGTGAGGCTGACAGGCTGGCAGGGGACTTTCCAGGAGCCTCTGGGAGAGGGGAGGGAAGAAGCATGACTGAACTCCAAAGGGAGTTCTGGCCGTCACATTTAAAGGGACTGTGTTACTTTTAAATGCCTTCCCACCATTGGAAATAATGGAGGATGGAGGCACCTTTTTGGGGGCTCATAGAAATTTGGGGGGCTCATAGAAATTGGACCCCCGATCCAACCTTTTTGAAACTTGGGAGATTTTTTTTTGAGGAGAGGTACCAGATGCTATGCTAAAAATCTGGTGCCTTTACCTCAAAAAACGAGCCCCAGATACCCCCAGAAATCCCTGGTGTTACGCCAAGCTTGGGATGTTCTGTGGCAGTGTCAGGGATTTGAGGAAGGTCACTGAATCCAGCCTGTTGGACTGGATCTGTGGGCCATAAAAAGGAGAGTCCTGAGTGTGTGCTTAACTATAGTGGGGGAAAGCAGCAGGTGAGTGATCTTTTTCCAAAGCCCAAAACATTCTCATGAAGTGCCTGTGCACATCAGGCCTATTCTATGCATTCCAGGAAGCCATTCCCAGTACATTCAGTGGATCTGGCTTGGGGTTGCCAGGTCACAGCCTGCAACACCCAGGAGCAATTGGGCAGTGGGGCCTGGCACGCCAGTCTTGTACCTGCACACCAATATCACTTCTGGTTTAAGCTGGAAGTGACACAGTGGGAATGTTCTAGCACTTTGCAAAAACTCTATGGTTTTGCCAGAGTTTTTGCAGAATGTTTAAACTGGGAGTGATGTAGGTACACCAGGCCTTCCCCCCCACAATTCCTCCTGCTGGTGCCTGGGGCACCGGCCGGCACCAAAGGGAATTCCTGGGAGTGGCATCCCTAAGTCGATCCCTAACCATTTATGTATAGAGTTGCAACTTTACTACTGTCTACTCCAATTGTACGAATCCCCAAGATCTCAGGCTGGAGGTTTTTCCCAGCCCAGCTACCAACTATGCTTTTAACGACAGGTACAAGGGACTAAACCTTGAACTTTCAGCATGCCAAGAACATGCAGAACATTCTCTCTCAAAATGCCTGGCTAGGGCATATACCTTTACATATTTAAAAAGCTGCCTAAAAAAACAAAAACAAAAGAGAATGCTTTATTCACTTTGTCTCCTGATGGCATAGTCAGAACTCATGGTTCTGCTTCGCAAGAGCCTTAAACCCATGTATTAGGAAAGACTTTCTAATATGGACCCCAAAATTACGGCATCTACATTCATCCTTTTTGGAGGCTATATTATCTCCATCCAGAGACAGACTATATGGTTTGGTGCAAAGCCATTTATTCTAGGGCTGCAGGAGAAAAACAAACAAATGGTCTCCTTTGCACTTTAAGACAAGAAAGTTAACCATGTACTCAAATCCTCTAGCTGTGTGTTATGTGTACAGTAAGAATTGAAAGTCTCACAGAAAAATGGTAAACTAATGGCATTCAGTTTTAGTTACGTATTAATGGCCCCTAATTTGTTTCTGGGCTCAAATTCCAGACACTGGTTTTCTCAGCATCTCCCATGGACCATTTCTGCCCATAGAAACCTGGCCAGGCTTTGGCTTGGACCCACTGAACCATTCCCATAGGTAGAAGAAATTCTGCCCATGGAGCATGGCTTTCTTGCCTCCAACCATAGGCGTAATCTGCAGGGGGGCGGCGGGGCTTCAGCCCCCACCGAAAATTTCAGTAAGGTGCTCAGCCTCCCCCGGGGGCAACTGCTTCCAAGCAGGCATCCTTGGCATTCGTTTTAATGCCTTCTGCTTTTGTGGCTAGTCCACAGGGGCGTGGGAAGTAGCCCCCTTTCTTCGCCGCGGCGCCGCCTGTTCTGCCAGCGGAGCCCACTCAGGTGCAGCCATTCCTCCGAGCCCCCCCTCCATCCGCAGATTCCCCCCCCCCCCGCAGCAGCCTCGGCACTGGATGAAATTACGCGCCTCTCGCCCTTATGCATAAAACTTCTCATGAAGTGCCTGTGCACATCAGGCATTCCAGGAAGCATTCCAGGAAGCAATTCCAGGAAGCATTTCCAGGAAGCAATTGCATTCCAGGAAGCAATTCCCAGTACATTCAGTGGAGCTGGCTTGGGGTCGCAGCTTGCAACACCCAGGAGCAATTGGGCAGTGGGGCCTGGCACGCCAGTCTTGTACCAATATCACATCTGGTTTAAGCTGGAAGTGACACAGCGGGGATGTTCTAGCACTTTGCAAAAACTCTGTGGTTTTGCCAGAGTTTTTGCAGAATGTTTAAATTGGGAGTGATGTAGGCACACCAGGCCTTCGTTCCACAATTCCTCCTGCCGGTGCCTGGGGCACCGGCAGGCATCAAAGGGAATTCCTGGGAGTGGCATCCCTAAGTCGATCCCTAACCATTTATGTATAGAGTTGCAACTTTACTACTGACTACTCCAATTGTATGAATCCCCAAGATCTCAGGCTGGAGGTTTTCCCCAGCCCAGCTACCAACTACGCTTTTAGCGACAGGTACAAGGGACTAAACCTTGAACTTTCAGCATGCCAAGAACATGCAGAACATGCTCTCTCAAAATGCCTGGCTAGGGCATATACCTTTACATATTTAAAAAGCTGCCTAAAAAAACAAAAACAAAAGAGAATGCTTTAAAATAGTAGGGAAGCTCAGTATTTCTGTATACAGTTGTGGGGGCTTTATTGCAATGTGGTATGGCCTGATATTATGTTATTATTCCAGTGTGGGTGTGTGGGAGGCTTTCTAAGTTTCTAAGCAGTGTGCTAAGAAGGCAACTGTTCCTGGGGTTAGCCCAGCCCAGGGACATTGCTAGGGCAGTTCCTAGGCCTCCGTAAATTTCTGGGGAGCCGATCCCTAAATCCCACATGGGTCCACCTCCATAGATAGTAACCATGCCTGTAATATCACTCGCTCCTCCCTATGATGTCATTGGGTCCCAGTTCTTTTAATGACTTAGCAATGCCTCTGGCCCAGCCCCAGCCCCCCCCCCGGGAAATTGGAAAGTCTACGCCCCTGCCTCCAACTTTCCATGGCAACTCAAAAAGCAGGGGTTTTTGGGTGTGTGTGTGTCCAAAATTGGGTGGGCTGATGTAAAATACTTATATACACACTTAGGGATGCAATTTTATTGGATTAACCCTTAGTTTAACTAACTAAACATTAAGTTAGTCAAATTTTAACTGATGTAGTTGTCAGCAAAGGGAACACTGGCTAACTTTGTGAACCATTTTGATCCACTTTTTTACTGTAATAAAGGCCTTTTATACTTTCTTCAAAGAGGCACCCATCTTGAGGTTTCAGTAATACTTAACATTAATTCAAAGTGGTAGACCTATTAGGAGACTAAGGCTGCGGTCACACTAAATAATCCACTTTAAATCCACTTTCGGTGCAGTTTCCAACTGGATTTTGCTGTGTGAACTGGTAAAATCCAGTTGGACAGTGCATTGAAAGTGGATTGAAAGTGGATTATTTAGTGTGTGACTGCAGCCTAACAGAACCACAATGGTTTTAATCTGGACGAAGCCAGAATAGAAGTTACCTCCAGCCTTTTATTATTTTTAGTAACAATGAATCAGGATGCTTTCCTGTTGCCTGTGGCACAGCCACCACCACCTCGTAAAAGAGAACACCAAGGTTTCAGCATTTCTTACCTGTTTGCTTTCAGGTTTTTCAGCCTGGCTTCCAAGTCATTAAGTAGGTTGATCTTCTTGCAGCACTGAGTGCAATAGACATCCAACAGCTCACTATTGTAGATGTGCCTCATTTTTCTTGGGGTCTGACCAGCACTGTTGGTAGAAAGGGAAAAGATTACCCCACTAGCATGTATGCCTGCTGTGTCTGACGCATGCATATTCCATATAAAATGTAAATTCTTTTTTTATCTAGAGTTATGCCTGGGGGAGAACATAAGCAGAGCGACCACTGGGAATACTTGGATCAGTCAAGTAGATCAAGACATCCTCTAAATTACTTAGAAGCTAGAAAGTCTTGATTTCGCTTTAAAACCTATGTCCTTTGTTCACTGAAGGGAGTGTCATCCTCTACAGTCAATACAACACTTCCAGCAAGGTTATCTCCAGGAGAGTGGTGCTATCTGAAGGACAACTTTCCAAGAATAGATTTCCTGTTTTTGACCATGAGGCACCCCCAATTGTCTGAGAGGCCAACACAGAGACAGTCCAGTGTACACACATTCCAACTGACTGGTGTACCACGTTAGCCTTCCTCCATCACCATCCTGTCTGTACACGGTTAGAGGTCGATAGAAGCCGAAAGCAGGGAGACCAGCCCCTGGTTAGTAACTATGATTCCAGGGCACAGTTTTAAATTTTGCAGAGGTTAAACAGTGCCAAGGTTGAGAATCTGGAGAGGTCACAATGTCTTCTGTAGTCTGTATTAGGTTGGACCTAATTCATAGCACAGTCTTGAGCACAGTTACACCATTCTAAGCCCAGTGACTTCAATGAACTTAGAATGTTGAAGAAGAAGAATTTGTTTGTATACCCCACTTTTCTCTACCTGAAGAAGAAGAATTTGTTTGTATACCCCACTTTTCTCTACCTGAAGGAGTCGCAAAGCAGCTCACAATCACCTTCCCTTCCTCTCCTCAAAACAGCCCCCTTGTGAGGAAGGTGGGGCTGAGAGAGGTCAGAGAGAATTGTGACTGGTCCAAGGTCACCCAGCAGGCTTCATGTGGTGGAGGAGTGGGGAATCAAACCCAGTTCTGCAGATTAGAATCCATCACTCTTAATCACTATACCACGCTGGCTCTCGGGTCAGGATTGCACTGTTCAACTCCTCTAGTTTTAATGGAATATGCTTATCACAATTTTATCCTGGTAATGTGCTTACAGTAACAATTGCATTATCATTATCTCTGGTATAAAGACATGGTATTTTTTAAAAAAAGCAAATACAGAAAGGAAATGCTTTGTATGCCAATTTGGGGGGGGGCTCTGTTTTAATGTTACAATTTGGACAGTGTGATGTGCCTCATTTCCATACTTCATTCTATGGCTGCGGAAAGTTGACTGCAAAGCTTTTGTCAAAAGTGATACAGAAAAAAGAAATTGATTTATACCGATGATAAATCAATCAATTCCAAAAGATGCTGCAGTAAAGTCTGTATGCATTTTCCTCCCAAGCTCCAAGAAAAAGAAAGGAAGAATGTTATTAACATAACGCAAATAAAAAACCTGGAAGAAACGGATGAGCCGAGATCTGAGTAAGCGTTTGTTCTGCTTTCATCATCAGGGCATGGGCTACTGGGAGTGAAGTCCACATCATCTCCTTCTCCATAATCCTCAAACTGCTCTTCGTTACTAATCAAGGAAGCAGTGGAATAGGTGGAAAGGTCAGATGCTGCGGAAGGGTTGAGAAGACCTGACCTGGGGAAAAGGAGCATCACAAGATTTACAAGGAAGTAGTTCTAACAGATCTCTGCCACTTGAAGGTCAAAAAGTTGGTTCTATCACCACCACTTTTAAGAACTAGGGACAAGTAGGGCAGAGATTTAAATAGTTAGCTTAACTCCTTGGCCCCAACAAGACACCACAACACCACCCTCCCTTTCCTTGTCCTCATCTGATCATTCTTCCTCTAGAGTGACTGAGTCTCTGTCTTGTCAACTTGCTGATAGTGTGACTATATTGAGTGGGTCTTCATACTTGGTGGTCATGTCAAAGGCCTAATCCTCTAGCTTTAAATAAGAGAGAGTGAAGGAAGGCATTGATTCCTGAATGAAGGAGATTATCTGGAACCATTCCAATCTAGTTTCAGGCCTGGTTAAGGGACTGAAATGGTCTTGGTCACCCTGGTGGATGACCTGTGCTCAGAGATAGTTAGGGGGAGTGCAACCCTATTAATTCTTCTGGATCTTGTGGCAGTTTTTGCTACCATCATTTGTAATATCCTTCTGGACTGCCTTTCAGGGTTGGGGCTGGGTGGCACTGTTCTATGGTGCTTTCAAGTCCTACCTCAAAGGTTGGTTTTCGGAGTGTTGTGCTGGGGAACTGCTGCTGGGCCCCTTGGCCTCTGACTTACAGAACCCACAAGATTCTATCTTGTGCCCAATGCTTCCAAAGGTCTATGTAAAAATGCTAGGAGAGATCATCAGGAGATCTAGGCTGAGCTACCACCAACATGCAAATAACATTCCAGCTACTTGTTTTACCAGCAGATCCCAGAGAGGTTTTACAAGATTCTATCTTGTGCCCAATGCTTCTAAAGATCTATGTAAAACTGCTAGGAGAGATCATAAGGAGATCTGGGCTGAGCTACCACCAACAGCAAATAACATTCCAGCTACTTGTTCTACCAGCAGATCCCAGGGAGGTTGTGGAAACTGAACAGGTGCCTGGTGGCAGGCTAACAAACAGAAACTTAATCCTGACAAAATAGAGGTGCTACTGGTATGTGAGGGGATGACACCCAGGAATTGGGATATCTCCTGTTCTTGATGGAGTTGCACTCTTGATGGGGTTGTACCCTATTGCTTGGGGTATTCCTGGAACCAAGGCTGGATAAGCAGGTGGTAGCAGTGGCCAGGAGCACTTTTCTCCATCTTCAGCTGATGAGCCATTGCAAGCCAGTTGCAACCTTTCCTGGGCATGAAAGATTTTGCCACTGTTTCAAATGTTCTTTAGCATCTGGATTAAATTTCTGCAATGCAGTCTATGTGGGGCTGCCCAAGAAGACTGTCCAGAAGGTACTGTTGGTACATAATGCTGTGGCCAGAATGTTGACTGGAGTAGATTGTAGAGACCACAGCACTCTAGTCTTGTTCCAATTTGCTTCTGGGCCCAATTCAAGGTGCTGATATTGACCTTAAAAACTCTATATGGCTTGAAGCCAGCATACCTTAAGGATCACTTTCTTCCATATGAACCCACCTTACCACTCTGATTGTCTTCAGAGGCCCTTATTCAGGTGCTCCCGCCCTCTGAGGCTAGATGTCTGGCAACATGAGAAAAGGCATGGTCACACACACTAAATAACCCACTTTCAATCCATTTTCAAACTGGATTTTTACTGTGTGAACTGGCAAAATCCAGTTGGAAAGTGCACTGAAAGTGGATTATTTAGTGTGTGTGACCACAGCCTCAGTTGTGGCACCAAAACTTTGGAACTCCCTCACCAGGGGGATTCCGTCTGTCTCCTTTTATTGTTGTCTTCTGCCAGCGGATGAAGACTTTTTGTTTGGTTTGGTGTACCCCCAGTACGTGGTATTGGCTCGCTTCCCTTTTTGTGTTGTTATGTGTATTTATATGTTTTACTGAATTGCTTATTTTCATATATACTTTATTTTATATGCTGTTTTGGGGCTGAAATGTTTTGATGTTCACCACTTTGGAAACCCTATTTGGATGGAAAGGTGTAAAGAAATGTTATTAAAATAAACAAATAAATGGATAGTTTGAAGCAATGAATGGAGTTACCTAGTCTTTGGGCAAAACAGGATTAGGCTCTAAGGGAAACTACTTGAGACATGTAAAGGAAATAAATTAATGCCCTGTGCAATACTGACAGAAAATTACTATAAGATTATAACATGATGGTATTTAACACCATAGAGGGAAGGTGGCACTGTATAGCCCAATCGAGTCAGATCTCAGAAGCTAAGCAAGGTTGGACCTTGGAAGGGAGACCACCAAGGAAGACTCTACATGGGAAGGCAATGGCCAATGACCTCTGCTTCTCACCTGCCTTGAAAGCCCCTTTCAGGGGGCATTGTAAGTTGGCAGTGACTTGATGGCACCTTACACACACATATTTAACACCATGGAGATTAAAAAATATATATATATGCCAACTCTAATTCATGTTGTTGGCAATGTGGCAGTGCTAAAGCTGATCTAATACACATCTGGCAGCTTTAACAAAGATCCGATTTCAGTATTCCACTGGAGACTAAGTTATTATTCATTTTGATAATTGCAGCAAGGGTGCTAATAGTAAGCGGTGCTGACAGTCAAGAAATGGGAAATCAGGTGGGATGCACTGATCTATCTGAATTTAATGTACTACTCAAGATTTATAGGGGGGGCGAGAGTATATAGAGTACAAATAGGCTGGGGAGATTTTTCCAGCACTGGAATAGGAAAAAAAGAGTGATGCTGTTCGCTTGGATATAGTGATTAGGTAAAGAGAAGTTCAGAACAGTTAAGTAGCGGCAGGGGTCGTTTCATAGAAAAAGAGCTAGGCATTTAACATACACCTAATTTTAAGGTTTTATTTTGTATTTTGAAACAGTGTACTAGCAAATAATCAATTGATTAAATGTGTAGTAGTCTGAGATATCGTTTTGCTGTATAAATTAAGTATGACTTATTGTATTCTTGTGAATTGTTAAGTAAAGTAAAAATATTTCATATCCTGTACATATGAAATAATCATGGGGCATGTTCATAAAATACACAATTTTTCCCCCATGAATTGTATTCACATACAATAATAGACTCTTGGAACTTATTGAATATTAGTAGCGGGAATATATTCCACCTGAAAGACCTCAGGCATTTAACATACACCTAATTTTAAGGTTTATTTTGTATTTTGAGATAGCGTACCAACAAATAATGTAGTAGTCTGAGATATCGTTTTGTGTAGTAGTCTGAGATATCGTTTTGCTGTATAAATTAAGTATGACTTATTGTATTCTTGTGAATTATTAATAAAAGTAAAAATATTTCATATCCTGTGCATATGAAATAATCATGGGGCATGTT